CACAACTGTTCTGGAACATATCTCGCCCATTAAATGCTTTGGCGTTCCACCTTTGCAATGGACCCCAAAACAGTCGATAGACATCCATGAAGGCTATCGTCCAGCACCCATTGGACGTAAATAAATAAATCCCGTTTGATTCTTAAAGCTAGGTAGTCAATTTCAACGCTGAAAAATCCTGTTTTCACATCAGGACTCAACATTATTTGCTTTGGTGTCAAATAAATTGTTTAATCTCTTGTGTTGATATCACGTGTTGGTATTATGAGGTCTATGTAGCACTGATCGGGATCTGGTTGTCACAAAGCGAAGTGACTGCCAGATGGCAGGTCTACATATGATATGTTGTGATGAGATAAGGTTCTACAATTTCACATTCCATTAATGCCAACTCAAGAAATTCCTAGCTTGTTAGTCAGGGACATTAATTCTCAATACTTGATCGCTATGAAGAGTCTCCTCGACAGGAATACTGTCTACTATCTAGAGAAGCATTTCGGTCGACTTCATTGCTTGGTCTATCGCAGACAGGGCTTGTCAATGAGTGTGTGTGGGTGGGGTCCTCAGAGTCGTGACTGGCCATCAATCGTGTTATCCAACTCTCTGACTTGGTTGTGAGAAGTACTTTTTCACAAGACATTGACGCCTCTGCTTACCGCACCAGGAGTTTAGTCTCGTAGTTGCTAAGCTGACCGCGAGTTGCCCTCAGTCATAACCACGGAAAATACATCGAAAAGTGTCAATCTGTGTAGTGTGTAGAGCTACTGTTTAGTGCTGACTAGTCTAAGGCGCACCAGGGACGTGAATTATAATTGTGTACAAAGATTGACGTGGTGTTGTGTTCTAAGTCTCAGAGGAGGATTTCAAAATCAGGTTGGGAAGTGAAGAATACAATAGTTGAGCATCTTGATCACGCGAAGCTCAGTTTGTCTAGATTCGAGCTCAAACCGATGGGCTATGCCAGTCGACATTCATTACGCCAGCAAGTTATCTTTATTTCTTCAACATAGCTGTATGGTGAGACATGACGTAAGCATTAATTAACTCACTTGCGTTAGACCCACCGAGACTGTCCTTCTGGTGATCATGTGGGCTTCGAAGTGCGTTCTCACGACACAGGTGAACCAATCTTGTCGAGGGGTTAGTTTCGTTTGCGGATAAATTGTGTTTATTGTTTGTCCCACGACCAGTCGTTTTTCTGTATGTCCGTCTGTTAGGGTTGAGCCCATGATGTTTGCAAGTGTGGCGAGATTATGTTGTCTCTTCAATGTGAGTTGTTCAGTCTTGGCACCCGGAAGGTCTCGCTCAACAAAAAGATCGTATTTAGACATAGGACCAACGGCCAGACCCCCTGGATTAATGAGAGGATGGAATGCGAGTGACGAGAGTTAGTGCTTAGTTCCGTGGTACGATTTCAAAGTTTATTATTGTATTTCGGACTACGCTAGGACCACGTACTCAATGAGTCCGCACCGAGAGGCAAAACTAATGTAGTTGTTGTGATTAGCAATTTTGGAATACGCACGGTGAGGTTGTGACATAATAGCATTGCGGTGAACTATGACAGGAGTGAGTGTGAAACTTAAAGGTGTACGGGACTACTTTGGTGCTCGGTGGGAGTTGCAGTGTGATGCTACTGGTGGATCGGGAGTTGAGTTAGACTCAGTCGGACCCATATTTGATTATTGCAGTGTCGATCGGTGTGATGACTTCTCATGCTTGCTACAAGGGAGTTATCAACCAGATCGGTCGGTGAAGTCTTTCTCAACATCTAATGCTTTAGAATAAAGTGGACACTTTTTGCAACATGTCCCCGTTTCGTATCTTATCGGGACAGGAATTTTCATTGTGCTCAAAACAATGTGGTCTCTTAATCGCAGCTATTGTTTTGTTGGTACTTTGTAATCTTCTTCAATAAGGACTGATTTTCGTAACACATAACGACAGACATTGATCGTGTATGGTTAAATCTACGAATAACTCATTCAAGCACTGTTACTGCCGAAAATTTTTGTATTTGTATTTAATGGAAGAGAATTTGTGCGAAATCTATGTCTTAAGATCTTGAAGTTAGTACTCTGGTATTTTAAGGATCGAGACAATATTGAATAACGCTCACAAAACTCGTGTTTCAAATATTCGTACCCGACCATATTGGCTGCTTGTGGATCGAATCAGGTGGAAGTCTTGGAAATAAAACGTCCGAGGTAAGTTTGATGGTGTATGAATTAAGTTCCGATATAATTTTCGTCACAGAAACTTGGCTCGCTGTAAATATAGACTGTTCTCCTATCATTGCAGGTTACATCTGTATTAGAAATAATAGATGCAGTGGAGGAGGCATAATTTTATACGTTAGAGACCACTTCCGTATACAACCAGTCATGTCGGATGAGCATGTTAGTGGTACATGTGAGGTAGCATGTTGCACAGATACGGGTTAGTGACTATAGGAGGAATATACCGTAGTCCGTGTTGTCTGGCTGATGACTTTATCTTTGGACACATCTGTTCATGGAGTAAGGCAGAATGTTGTCTCATTATTGGAGACTTCAACGCACTGCATATCAACTGGATAGAGCTTACAGCTTCTATCAACCATTATTCAGTGTGCAATTTTCACAATATATCGCAAATCCGACACACATTGACTTGGAACATGACCCGTCATTGCTGGACCTCGTCCTCACACACCATTGTGAGGAAGTCATCGACATTTAGATGGTAGTTGGAGGTAGTCAACAGGAAACCCTGGACCCGGGTTTCGTGCTACTTGGCACTCGTCAGCAAGTTGTACCTGTAATCTTGAGGGAACTGGTGCTCCCTGGGGGATTCGATCTCGTGTCACCCAGCTTCACAGTCAGAGACGTTACCACTGTGCTATCCGAGCCGTGACTAATAAGGACTAGACAAGCATGACATTGATCACCACCCAGTGACCAATCAATTGTGAAGTCATCGACATTCAGCATCCTTCCCTACTAGTGAATAGTGGTCACGTTGTACTGTACTTCGAGTTTCGAGCACTTAGTATACAATTTGTATCTGCTCCACCCTGTTCTAATATCTGGCGAGCCAATACTCCGGCAATCAGGGACTGTACTATGTCGACTGGCTGGTGGGTCGACGTGGATGAATCGATCAAAGACGAATGGGATAGGTTTAAGGACACAATCGAGTCCGTAACATCACCGTTTATCCTATGGTTATCACGTAAGCTATTACATTGCACACGATGGATTATTAAGGAAACCCGGAAGCTGTTGAAGCGAAGGAAACATTTCTGGGACTTATTCTTGTCAACAGGACAAGCACCACTTAAGTGCGAATATCAAAAAATCCGGAATATATGCAAAAAGACTATAGTAAATCCTGTACTACTTAGGAAAGACAGTTGGCGTATCGTAGCCGTACTTGCTTGAAACGATTGTTTTCGTATATTAAACGGTGAACAAATTGTTGTGATGGTATTCCCCCATTACTGTTACACGAAAATTCAGATTTACTAGTTTGATCGAGTCAGGCAAAAGCTGAGACTTCCTCCAACTGCTTTAGCGAAGTCTACACTACGTGTGTTTCTCCAAATACTAGTCACAATCACACCGAGATACCAGCAATTGGATCTGGACGTATAACTGAGGAAACTGTTCTTCCATTTATAACTAACCTCAAACCTTGTAAGATACTGGGCCCTGACGGGTTACATTTATGACTGCTGTCATCTCTTGCGGACGTTATTTCAATCCGCTTGCGACGCTCTTCAGCATGTCCCTTTCACTCGCCCAACTCCCTAGAGATTGTAAAGACGCTGTAGTCGGTCCTATATTTAAGGATGGTCAGAGGCGAATCGTATCTAACTACCGGCCAGTCAGTCTAACTAGCATAGTCGTTAATTTACTTGAAAAGATGATTCGGGTTAAGTTTTTGGTCACATAGTTGCTTATGTCGTCGACATTATTATTTGCGGTTGATGTAAAACTCTGGAGAACAATGAGAAGTGAGGCTGACCATTTGGATCTCCAAGCTGGCTTAGATGAGTTAGTTGGATGGGCTAGAGTTTGGGGCTTAGAAGTTAATTCTAAGAAGAGAGTGTTCATGCACATCGGACATGGTAATATTTACCATTATACAATTGATGGTAAACCACTTTCAAGCGTTCAAGAACATAAAGACGTAGGTGTAATTATAAGTCGTGACTTGAGAACAACTACGCATTGCAACGCAACATCTGTCAAAAATTTTCGTGCGTAATGGTCACTTCGCCGAGCATTCAAATGCTTTGACGAGGAAATATTTCGAATTTTATATCCCACCTATGTAAGACCACACTAAGCGCACTGTATCCAAGCAGTTAGCTCATGTCTGTTAAAAGATACTAACTCACTTGAGCGTGTTCAGTGCATGAAAACAAAATTAGTGAAGGGTCTTTCTAAACTCCCTTATGATGAGCGTTTAATACGTCCAAACCTTTTCCCCCTGTCAAATCGTCGGACGCGAGGTGATCTTATACTGGCATTTCATATCTTTAGTTATGATTTGGGTGTTAATATGTCTTATCTTTTTGCTCCCTCCAACACTAATAATCTCCGAGGTCATAGCGAAAAGATTCACAGACCGCGATCTAATAAACTTAAAGTGAGGTCCCGTTTTTCTATCGAGTAATCAATGCCCGAACAAGTGACATCAGCTCATCAGTGATTATTTTCAAAGAGAAGCTGGACATTCACTGGAAGGCAATCTATCAGGATTAACACAGGTAGCCAAAATAATATTCTTATTACTGAGGACTAAAGACTAACATTTCACGATGCTTAGTGTAACTCGCAAAATAGCATCAATCCATCCGTTTCATCATGAACAGTGCGCACAAATAATATGACTCCGAACTACACTTCAGATAGGCGTAGAACATGGATATCCACACATAGCATAGAAGTAGGACATAGGGCAAGATAAACGTTATCAATCAACTCAGGGTTTGAGAGACTTTTGTTTTACCCGTTCAAAACCTCTGTTGGGCGGTACTCTAAAACCTGCATCAAAATGTCTAGAACTACTCACAAGATCTACGTTGGGAATCTGCCTCCAGATACCAAAACTCGAGATATCGAGAATCTATTTTCGAAGTATGGTCCGATTGCGGCAATCGATCTGAAAGCTGGACAAAGACGTGGTCCACCGTTCGCATTCGTTGAGTTTGAAGACGAGCTGTAAGTTGTGTTTATATGACGTGGACTTTCCAAGTGATGCATCGGATGCCGTTCGTGGGCGTGATGGATACAACTTTGATGGGTACGCCTTGCGAGTCGAGTTACCACGCACTGGAGGTTTCAACAATGGGAATGGCGGTCCTAACCCTAACCAGTTCCGGCGAGGAGGCTTTAATCGCGGGGGAGGTGGGGCTAGTGGCCCCTCAAGAAGGTCAGACTTCCGAGTAATTGTCACGGGTTTGCCACCCACTGGTAGTTGGCAAGATCTCAAGGATCACATGCGTGAAGCTGGGGATGTTGGGTATGCCGACGTGTTCCGAGATGGCACCGGTGTAGTTGAATTCCTAAGGTACGAGGACATGAAGTATGCTATTAGACGTCTGGACGACTCCAAGTTTCGTTCTCATGAGGTATGTTTGTCGATTATGGTGATTCGAATTTTGTAGGGTGAATCCTCGTATATCCGTGTCCGCGAAGAGAGGGCTGGAGGGTCTCGTTCCAGGTCTCGATCATATGGCTCACCAAGAAGAGGTCGATCCTACGATTCGTGTTCTAGGTCAATCAGCCCCCGACGATGAGATACTGGACAAGTGTGAAATTTTGTACGTAATTAAAATTTGATGTCACGGCCATTATTATTCGTTATCACACAAACTCAATACAGTTTTCTTGCTTTTAAAGGTCTTCTGGATAATGGAAAGAGAAAACGACCACATAGGAGGGAACAGCGGAATATTAGTTTTGTGGCCACAGGATGGACTCAGTGCATCTGAAGGGATAGGAATACTAATGTTTACTGTACATGTCAGTGGATTGATGGATGCACTTTACCATGAGTGATTCTCAGGAGGTCATACTTCTGCTTCTCCAGATGGAAAAGGGAGTAGGTGTGCATTGTGGATCCTAAGTTTGAGTCGAAACCACAAGATAGTGAAATGATCAGTAGGATATAAGTTTCAGGAGTCTTGGATTTCATCTAAGGATGGACTTTGGATTTCTTGGATTTGCTCACGGATGCTTGGGATCGGATAGCGGAATGTAGGTTGCAAACCAAGCTGTCAGGAGCATACTCGTATCGTAAGTCCTGTACAGAAACACACGCACAACAACGGATATTAGATCACAACTGTTCTGGAACATATCTCGCCCATTAAATGCTTTGGCGTTCCACCTTTGCAATGGACCCCAAAACAGTCGATAGACATCCATGAAGGCTATCGTCCAGCACCCATTGGACGTAAATAAATAAATCCCGTTTGATTCTTAAAGCTAGGTAGTCAATTTCAACGCTGAAAAATCCTGTTTTCACATCAGGACTCAACATTATTTGCTTTGGTGTCAAATAAATTGTTTAATCTCTTGTGTTGATATCACGTGTTGGTATTATGAGGTCTATGTAGCACTGATCGGGATCTGGTTGTCACAAAGCGAAGTGACTGCCAGATGGCAGGTCTACATATGATATGTTGTGATGAGATAAGGTTCTACAATTTCACATTCCATTAATGCCAACTCAAGAAATTCCTAGCTTGTTAGTCAGGGACATTAATTCTCAATACTTGATCGCTATGAAGAGTCTCCTCGACAGGAATACTGTCTACTATCTAGAGAAGCATTTCGGTCGACTTCATTGCTTGGTCTATCGCAGACAGGGCTTGTCAATGAGTGTGTGTGGGTGGGGTCCTCAGAGTCGTGACTGGCCATCAATCGTGTTATCCAACTCTCTGACTTGGTTGTGAGAAGTACTTTTTCACAAGACATTGACGCCTCTGCTTACCGCACCAGGAGTTTAGTCTCGTAGTTGCTAAGCTGACCGCGAGTTGCCCTCAGTCATAACCACGGAAAATACATCGAAAAGTGTCAATCTGTGTAGAGCTACTGTTTAGTGCTGACTAGTCTAAGGCGCACCAGGGACGTGAATTATAATTGTGTACAAAGATTGACGTGGTGTTGTGTTCTAAGTCTCAGAGGAGGATTTCAAAATCAGGTTGGGAAGTGAAGAATACAATAGTTGAGCATCTTGATCACGCGAAGCTCAGTTTGTCTAGATTCGAGCTCAAACCGATGGGCTATGCCAGTCGACATTCATTACGCCAGCAAGTTATCTTTATTTCTTCAACATAGCTGTATGGTGAGACATGACGTAAGCATTAATTAACTCACTTGCGTTAGACCCACCGAGACTGTCCTTCTGGTGATCATGTGGGCTTCGAAGTGCGTTCTCACGACACAGGTGAACCAATCTTGTCGAGGGGTTAGTTTCGTTTGCGGATAAATTGTGTTTATTGTTTGTCCCACGACCAGTCGTTTTTCTGTATGTCCGTCTGTTAGGGTTGAGCCCATGATGTTTGCAAGTGTGGCGAGATTATGTTGTCTCTTCAATGTGAGTTGTTCAGTCTTGGCACCCGGAAGGTCTCGCTCAACAAAAAGATCGTATTTAGACATAGGACCAACGGCCAGACCCCCTGGATTAATGAGAGGATGGAATGCGAGTGACGAGAGTTAGTGCTTAGTTCCGTGGTACGATTTCAAAGTTTATTATTGTATTTCGGACTACGCTAGGACCACGTACTCAATGAGTCCGCACCGAGAGGCAAAACTAATGTAGTTGTTGTGATTAGCAATTTTGGAATACGCACGGTGAGGTTGTGACATAATAGCATTGCGGTGAACTATGACAGGAGTGAGTGTGAAACTTAAAGGTGTACGGGACTACTTTGGTGCTCGGTGGGAGTTGCAGTGTGATGTTACTGGTGGATCGGGAGTTGAGTTAGACTCAGTCGGACCCATATTTGATTATTGCAGTGTCGATCGGTGTGATGACTTCTCATGCTTGCTACAAGGGAGTTATCAACCAGATCGGTCGGTGAAGTCTTTCTCAACATCTAGTGCTTTAGGATTGATAAATAAGGTGGTCAATTTACTGAACTCTACGCTGCTATGCAAACCATATTGTTTTCTAATCTTTCCAGCGTCTTGTTGTCCCGCTTTTTTTATTTCCTGTCACTTCTCCAGGTCACGGTTATATTAATTCTCTCCTGACCGTATATTTTCATTAAATTTTATATCGTATTGTGCCGATTTCAATTATTATGGTGTACTTCTTTACTGGAAAAAATATAGTTCAGTGTTTCGTTGAACTGGATCTTTTGTCTATTTGTACTTTGTTTATGTGGTCTAGAACCAACTTGTGATTTGTTCACTATAAATTATCGTCCAGTTCTAACACAGTGATATCATTTATTTGTATCTTTGAAATGGTTGAAGTTGCGCTTATCTCTTCTGTTAGTTGGAAATTGGTAATGTTAGTGCCAACTTAAACAATGCTGCTTGTTTTTGTTGTCACAGTAAGACTACACCAATTTTTTATAATAATTAAGATTTCAACGGGAAGCTATGTATCGCAGAGAGCGATAGCAAGTCATGCCAGTTGACTTTTTAGGTTTTTGTGCTGTCGACTCGGTTCCTTATTTACTTTCAATTCGAAGAAGTCAAGAGTAACGACCTATACATACTAAAACCAACTTTTCTGTCTTATTGATGAAACTACTGCTTTGAATACAGGAAAATATCAATATTGTTCGAGTAAACTTACGACAATCTGTCTGTAAGTAATATTAAGGGCAAAACGACCTCTGAACAGTAGTGTAAAAGTGGAGTATTTTAAAGCCCCCAGGACAGTCGATTAAACCGAAGTCAATTTATTCCTATAAGTAGTGATAATTCTATTTGATTAGCTACTGCTCTTTATAAATTAGTTTATAACTCTTGATAGAGTTTAGTTCTCCGAGCTGGATGATTTGGTCGTGGGGCTACCGTCATTTTAGACGATATCATCGCAAACTCCAGGTACTGACTGTTTTGAAATATAGGATTATGGACACGGTATCCAGTGCTATGGTCTGTCTATTTAATTTGCATTATTGGGGCATTTCACTTGTGAACAACGCCTTTTATACGCCGCAAGCAATGTTATGTGCTGCGAGAACACAGAGTCTTTGTTTTTGAAAGCATACTAGTTAACATCTGAAAATGGAAGTGGAGTTGCTTTGTAATATGGCTAGAGTTTAGAAGTTAATAAGAATTTTCATTTTCCCAGAAAATATAGTAACGACTGACAAGCATACGAATATGCACAGCAACTTACACTGGTTATGTAGGTCGCATCCATAAACTATATAATAACGTACCTCAAGAACATATTCTATACGTCTAAACTCTGGACTAAAAATAGCGAGACTATGAGGTCACGAAGAACTTCTAGAAATACCACTTAGGGGTTAACCCTTTGCACTCTTAGGTTACCTCTGCAATTATTTCCAGCCAATCATTATTAACATTTAGCGTGCCGGAGTTACTGGAGTTCATCAAATACTGTGACTCATCAAGGTCTCCGAAAAATTGAACCATGTCAACAAGGTGATTAAATAGATCACTTAGCGATACGAATACGCAGATGATATTCCTGTTTGGTGAAGACGCTGATAAAATGCTGAATCTTTTGGTAGCACTGAACAATACCAGGCTGTTTGGAATGCGTTTCTCCTCTTCTAAATGCAAGTTGTTGTTCCAGGACTGGCCTTCGTCAACACCTGAACTAAGGATGGGGAATGAAGTAGTTGAAAGCGTCGGCAACTTTACTTACTATGGAAGTCTGACCAGCCCAAGTGGGTTGGTGTCTGACGAAATTCCAGCACGGATTCATAAAGCTCGTTTGGCTTTTGCCAACTTAGGTCACCTATGGCGAAGGCGAGATATCTGTCTATCAATTAAGGGCCGAGGGTATTGCGCAGTAGTTTCGTCTTACTTTACGGCTGCGAAACGTGGCCATTAAGAGTAGAATATACTCGTGAGCTACTACTATTTGACTATATATGTGAATATTCGTCGACTGAGATGGGCCACGTGTTACGTATGCCTGAACACCGATTACGATGATGTACAATGCTGACTAGTGTTGGAGACGGTTGGAAGAAAGTTAGGGCCGGTCAAATAAGACCGTGTCATCAGTGCTTGAAGTTACTAACTTCTGGTCTGCACCATGTTTGTAGTTGCAGATTACTTGGTTGGGGCCCGCGCGACTCGTTGAAGACTCTGGGTAACATGACTCAGGATCGATCACAATGGCGTATATGTATACACCCTTTGTCTTCCTTTAAACCTTGAGATTAAAATTGCTTTTTATCTTTCTACCAACTAGTTTTTTTCTTCCTGCACTATATCCTTATACAAAATCTTCCTTCTATATATTACCACCAATGAAGTAACTATTCTATATTTGTTCATCTTGTGCTAATGAGGTGTGGCAACTTGGACCGATGCATATATGTGCCTATGTTTTTGTTGATCAAGACGAAAGTGATAGCTTAACAGCTTTAACAACTACAGTATCTAATAATTGCCCAATATTTTTTCCAATAACCATAACTATTAAGTATAAAACAACCTAGTCTATATATACGAATATTCGTCAAGATTAGAACGAATAGTTTGACAGTAATTGAGCGCCGAGTATAGAGAAGTCATTATATGTGAAAATTATATTTGAAATATTCTCAGCGATTGAAATATAACTAATTCCAACGTTTCGTCCAGCTAACTTCTCTGGACTTCTTCAGGGTAATAATCAAAGACATATATAGCTTTTAACAATCAACATCCAAATATGATTGGTTTAACAGTATAATCCTGATTGTTAAAAGCTATATGTCTTTGATAATTTTGATTATTACCCTGAAGAAGTCCAGACAAGTTAGCTGGACGAAACGTTGGAATTAGTTATATTTCAATCGCTGAGAATATTTCAAATATAATTTTCACATATAATGACAACCTAGTCTATGTTTAAGTAAAGTGTTAAGTATTGGGAAACTTCTAAACCAGTGTAACATAGGTCAGCTGGGTATTAGATAGCTGCGTCGTTGAGTACTTACGACAGTATTACATCTACTTAATGCTAAAACATAAATCTTGTTCCGCGACCCCTTCGTATGAGCAATGCTTCGCATAAAAACGCAGAGCAGTCCTACATGTTGGACCGACAATGAGATAAGTTCGTATTTCCCTAGATGCATAAATGAACGAAAGGCAGACGCCCTTGTATGCTGGAACTTTTAGCTTGCTAACGTGTATTAACTGAGTTATAGCTTAATGTTAGACATAGGGCAGAGACCTGACCTAGACGGTCGAAATCCGGGTAGTTTTACTGATTTTCGTTTGGGTAGCCCGGATTTTTTACCAGTTCATGTATAAAAGGCCTATTGCTATGTATATAAACCTGACGTCAGATAACAATTTGGACTTTAAAACACCTAACAAGTGACTTACTCGAACATAGGAAGTCTCTTAAAAGAAACCTTGAAATAAATTTAGGAGAAACCTTTACGCAACGAAACCCAAAAGACTGGACCCTTTAGTAATTGCGACATACACTACGGCATAAAGTGATACTTCCCGAAAACGTGCTGTAAGACAGAACAATGTTGTTGCTAAAACCTGCGATAAGACCAAAAACATATTAGGATAAAATCTCCGTAGTGGTGTACAGCAGTATACAACTTGTATTAAGCAACATATCTGAGTGTACTATTCAGAAGACTCAGCGAAGCTTCTAACGAAGTTTTCATGAACCATACCCCAATATTCATGTAATTATGATTGATACTTTCACCAAAACTATTTAAACTCAATTTAATCTAATCTCGCCGTATCGAAATAAAGGTTAACTATAAATGGGTAACTAGCAAGGCCTTAACCTTGTAACTTAAAAGGACCATAAGCATTTTGAAAACGAACATAAAGTGCGGGGATGGTCTGAATACTTTAGTTGATAGCAGTATTTTAAAGGGTGAACGAGACCGTTATCATGGTCAGTGAAAAGTATAACACAATAAGTAAAAGATTCTATTCTTTTACCTTTCAGATAATCTATTTTGACGCCAGTGTCATTTGTCCACATCTTTGAGAACGATTTTACTGCACACAGTAACATACATAGTAAAGACATCAAAGAAGACGACTTAGACGCAGTTCATAAATTCATAGTTATCATAAATAAATACTAGTTAGTGTTTTAGAACCACTAATTATGACTCATATTACTAGGGGGCTAACGTGATGTTCATGGTTCCCTACGTTAACATTTCATGAGCTATTGTACGCAATGACCTAAAAACTACAAATCATCATGAAAGCACCAGCTGTCTGGGGCTTTTAATCACCTAGTATAGTATCCAACAGTTCAGATACAGTTGCGCATTTTGTCAGAAACATACTGACACATTCAGATTTATATTTTGAATACAGACTGGATACGACAAAAGGGGCTATAGTGAAAATTTCTTTACATTCTCTATAGCGAGTGGCGGAAACACCTGAGAATTTCGGCTCAATGCTGAATAAACAGGACACCGTAAAACATAAGACCAACAGTCTATACGCTTGTTGGTCTTTTCAAGATATGGTAAATAAAGCTAACTATTTGCACTTCAAAGCGAATTATTAGTCCTTTAAAAAGTAATGTAAACACAATTAAGAGATACTGCTAAAGATGTATTAAACCCCTAGAACAACAACACATTTTAGGAATAACGAAGGCCATTTGACTTATAACTAGTGACAAAGATTGATATCTCTTCTAACTCCTATTTATTCATCAGACCTGGTGAAAGTCAGACGTTAATTTATCGAACTTTTTGGCTTGTCTCCAAAGCCATATGAAGTTAAAATTTCCCTTTTAAGAAACCCGATAAGACAATTTATCTGACCTACAAGTTATGGTTTCACATAATATGGTAAAAATTACATCGAAAAGCCAGGATGACACTGTTTCTTGGTTTGGTAAAAAGCAGTTTTCAAAATAAGATTTTACTACATAATCTAAGTGCATAAAGCAAGCTTTGACACTAATTTCCAACAAATCTGATTTCTAATGATACTTCGAATGTTTGTGACTTCTGTGCTCAGCGTAGTCCGAAAAATAGCGAAAGGCCGCTAAAGAGAACGTGAAATGAAAGAAAGGTACAACGGTTGGCCTCTTTGTCATTAACCAACGAAAAGCATATCTCCAGTAAAACCGACTAACCGCACGGAACATATCTGCTGGATGTTTGCTCCTACGTGAAAACCATTCACTAAGCTGACCTAGCTGCACATCACCAAACGGAATGTCCTTTTTGCCATAATATCTTCCAGGGAAATAAACACCGTGCACCCGCACATTGTATTCCTTAGGTAGAAGGCCGAAGTCCATCATATGTTCCGTTCACAGATCTAAACGGCGCCACAGTATTTTCAACAAATCAACTTTTGGAATAAATTAATTTATTGACCCAGTGGGAACAAATTGTAAATCGCTTCAGAAATCTGTATCAGTATGTGTGTTCTATATAAAAACTGCTTTGTTCAAAACTAACGTTCAAATAACGTTTCGAAAATTTATAGAATTCTGTATGTTTCTAA